GTAGACATTAAATGGTTGCTACAGTATGGTTTTAGTAGGTTCAGGGGGACAGGACATAATTATGATTTTCTCTTAAACCTGAGAGGTCAGAGAGCCCAGAGAGTGGTCAGCACTTCTTTCCTGGGGTTAATTAAAAAAGGGATTTAATAAAAAGAAACCTGCTATAGTGAAAAATAGCATTTTACTATATGACGAAACTATTAACTTTTGGGAGGAAATTTAATATCATTTACAAAACTGAATAAACTCACCGGACAAAGAGTCTGAGAGGGAAATGGTTTAACACTCAATATTGGAACAGTGGCTAACACAGGACAATAACAGTAGGGCACTGTGACATTTCAGTACTCTTCATGGCAAAGGGACAGCCTAGAGCCTCCCCCCCCCCCCATGAGCAGCATGCCTTTGGCCTCATGGTCCTGGCTTGTTTCCTGGCATGTAGCCATCTGAAAAAGTACCAGGCTTCTCTGAGCTTTTCCCGCAAGGACCTTCAAGGAACAGGGTAGAGAACCATGGCAGCAGGCCAGGCCTGTGACACTAGCCACAAAACCCAGGGATTGTGATGGCCCGGCTCACCAACAGTATCCTTCCAGATAGCCGCTGCTCCTTCGGCTCTCCAGAGGTGATAGCAAATGGGTTGGACTTAATTAGTGTCTGGATACACCTGTCGTGGGTTTTAGAAAGCTCAAGAATTATTCTTTCTAGGCCAGGCCCAGAACCCCCAGGCAGGAACGTGCTGGCTAGGACATGCGCTCTTCTGTGCTTGGAGCAATGCCGCCTCTGCCAGAGAGCAGTTGGAAATGTTCTCCTACAGGGAGAATGGGAAAGCATTCATTGAGAGCGTCCTTTACTCAGCTGCTGAAGACACGTGGTGTCATTACTAATGGTCGAGCATGAGGCATGAGGGGCAGGTGTCCAGGGCAAGGAGTTAAAACAGTGACTTTGTCAAGGGTTCTGCCAGGCTTCCTATGTGACCTTGGTCAACTTGATGGTGATGATCTGCACTTTCCTCAGCAGTGAACTGGAAACAAACTTAGAAAAGGGTTTTCTAAGATCCTTAGTTAGGGCTTCTTTGACTCACGGTGTGTTGCTGATCTTGGTGGGTAAAGTCTTCCAAGAACAAGAAGTTTTGTCGAGGTAGCTGAGGTAAAAATACCAAGATACTGGGGAGGTAAGATCAGAGAGTCCCTGGAGCTCCTACAAGAATGAAGGCTCCATTGTTTCCATCTGTGTGTGTGAGTTTAAACATGCCTGGACACAGGTAGGGGACGTGAGAGAGAGAGGTTTCACCTTTGTGGTTCAAATGGACACAGAAGTCTGGGTTGCATGATAAATTCCCATTTCCCCCCGGATCTAAACGACTAAATAACAGACTACTAAAAGCTGGGATTGTGTTCTTGTGCCCCCGCTATTTAAACATCATACTTTATGATAGATTTTTGCTGTGGGTCACTGAAAAGCAGTTTCATTTTTCAGAACCTTCTGTAGCTGTTCGTTTCTAGGCCATAAAACGATGTGGCTTCCATAATCCCACCGGGTATTTTAAATTGTTGGAAGAATGTATTGTTTGGTTCGCTGGCATTCTCGGGTCCGTTTAATCACCTTCAAACTCTTTGAATTAATGAAAGTGTATGCGAATTACTAATTGCCCTAGGACTGATCATTTAACTGCAACAAAATAGTAGTTCCCGTCTTCAGGCCACACGGAAAGGCAGGGAAGCCTGCAGGTGATGAATTGGAGCTGTCCCTCTACCACTTACCAGCCAACCGAGGGAATGTTTAAACAAATCACTCATCCATTTGGGGCTTTCATTTTCCTTAATCAGAAAACTAGAAAAATTGGTGCCAGCTCATGGATGAAATAAGGTAGAAATGTTCCAAGTGCTTCCCGTATTCTCTGCGCAGTGCTGACCGCTGGAAAAATGCCCGTTTGTTGTCCCTAACCCTGCTGCCGTCACACTTTCCAGCGTGCTTGGTGCCTTCATGCCCACTTTCCCATTTCAGGGTCATAATAATGCTTTAAGACGGGCGAAGCAAAGATCATAAATCACAAAAGAGAGCTTGGAGATCAAAATCGCTCATAGTATCAGATCCAGTAGGTCAGAGCCGCAAGACGGAACTTGCTGTCAAACCTGATGTCCTGAGTTCGGCCCCCACATGGTAGAAGTGAGCAGATTCTTGCTTGTTGTCCTCTATTCTCCACAACCACATACATACATGACCACATATGATAAAGTACAATAAATAAACAAAAACAATGAAGATTAGAAACCCAGCAGGTTGACAGTGGGCTGCCAAGGTACTTGGTCTGGCAGCCCCCACATTCTCATCGTATGCTGACCTCCTCGCCATGCTGGGGAAAAGAGTGGTGTACTAGCACATGGGTCTCCTAGATATTCTGTCCCGAGTAACCGCCTGCTCCTAGGACCCCACCATAACGTGGAGGCGGTCAGGGCATTTTTGATTTTGTGGTCAGAGATCATGTTACTGTCCCCAGCTTACAGAGCAGCAGCATAAGGCGGCTTGAGGCCCAGATAAAGGAGTTAACTTTGACAAAGGTGTGTGTGGGGGGGGGGGGGTGGATCCACATCCTTCATCAGTGGCTCGGTGCTTCACATTTGGCCCTCTCCCAACCACACTAACGTGTGGCAGAAGTGCCAGCTGAAATGACGGCTGAGCTGACACTGTAGCCGCGTCCTGGCTTTGTCCCAAATTCACAATTATTTTTCCTCCGAAGTTTCATCCAAAGGGCTTACATCTTTGCTGTATCATTGGAGCCTTCCGAAACAATGGGACAAAAGCTCCAGCCCCTAGAAAATAACAGGCAAAAGAACTCCGATCATTAAGCCACTACATTGCTCAGAGGGTGCTTGCCTTGCTCTGGTCTGGATCCAGTAGGACAGTGAATGATCCAACCCTAGGGACCGTGCTGACGTTAGGAAATTCAGCACTGCCCCTACCAGCTGGCCTTGTCTGAAGATAAAGAAATGTCCACTGCACGAGAATAACAGGATCATTGTGCCGACAATAAAACAATAAAAGAGAAACGGAAGCCAAAGGTGGACTGAAACACCCCGCGCTGTTTTCTAGAACCTCAATCTACTGCTGATTAACCTCCCAGCCCTGCAATAACTCGCTCGGATCTTGTCAGGGCAGCAGCTGAAACGCAACCTGGGTTTAATCATCTCATCAAATAGCACCGTGTAGAAATTAGAAATTGTAACTCAGAGACTCATTTATTTTCTCTTTCAATTCTCTTTCAGAAAATAAATATTTTTTGTTGTTTTGTTTTGTAGTTATGGGGGGTATTTGGACATAGATGCGAAGTATTAGGTTATGTTTTTTATTTTGGTACCAGGAACCAGGCATTTTTAAAAAAAAATCACTGGATTTAATAATTTTGAATCTTTGTGTCTCCTCTGAGATAGGACCAGATGCAACCAGAAGGATTTATAGAGTGTAAAATTGAGAATGGATTAGAAAAGGCTTTCTGTGTTCTGTCCAACACATCCTAAATCAACATTCTCCCCAGTGGACCAGACCAATCTCTGGCTGGCCAAGTGGGGAAGTTGCCATGGCAACTGGCTGGCAAGCACAGCCAGTGAAATGTGAATGCAAACAATCGAACGATAACATTGTATGCAGAGTTGCACACCGGGGCTGCTTCCAGCCAGGCACATCCCGGAAGTGGGAACTGGCCCCCAGCGGTTTCTGTCCCCCTGTAGTTTTGTTTCTCATTTGAAATTTATTGTTACTTTTCCCAGTGATTCAAAAACTTTACTGCCATAGACAGACAGGTGAGGGAGAAGTCAGCCCCCACCAGATAGTCAGAGCAGCGTTAGGAAGACCTGCCTGGCTGCTGGATGAAAACCCAGCTCAAAACTCGAGCTTGAAACTGGTCAAGGGAATTTCGGTGACTCTTTTGCGCCACCTCGTGGTCCGTTAGATGCAGTACGTAAAGTCTTTCCTTTAGCCGCATGACCGGCAGCCACTGGACAGACGGATAAATAGTCCCTCTCTCAGTAGAATATAAAATGTCATTTCTAAACCTTTCACAGAGGGGGGGGGGGAAGGAAGCTAATAACTTTGAGATAATGCAGAAATGAGAAAAGAATGAAAGTCTAAGTCCATGCTGGCCAGACAAAACAAGCTAAGGGAGGAGGGAGCTGTATGGCTCTGTTTTTCCAGACGAGTCCGTCTTGTGGCTGAGCAGAACAATTCATTCTGTAGTGGTCAGGAAACAGAGCACGGAGTAACTGGGGGAAGATACAATACCCAGGACACACCATCAGTAACGGAGTCACACCAACTCAACCCCACCCGTACCCTTCACCACCTCACAATCAGGACATCAAGGGGTTGATTCATCGACTAAGTCAGAGTTCTGGCCATCTCATCAGACACGCCCAGTGCTTTGCTCCTAATCCAGTCAAGCCGACAACCAAGAGTTAGGATAATACCAGTGGCAGCATTAGTGTCAGTGGACTGGCCTGGCCGGGGAGGGTTCTTAATGATACTTTTATTTTTTAATTCTTTAATTTTTTTTTTAAATTTTGTTTTGTTTTGTTGTTTTCGAGACAGGGTTTCTCTGTGTAGCTTTGGAGCCTATCCAGGAACTTGCTCTTTAGACCAGGCTGGCCTCGAACTCACAGAGATCCACCTGCCTCTGCCTCCTGAGTGCTGGGATTAAAGGCATACGCCACGCCACAGCCGCCGCCGGGCAATGATAATTGTTCTTAATGATACTCTTGAGTTCTTTTCATAAAATCTCCTCGCCCTGGCTGGCAGCATCAATAAAACAGTAGACAAATAGGATGGGCGTCATCAATCCCGCTTTAGGACCGTGTATTCACGGCCAATGGGTCGCACTGCACGTCTAGTTCCCAACTCCGTCTAGACCACATCTCCCCTCATCACCTCCTCTGCACTCAAAAACCGTAACTGAGTCCGCTGAACTCCAGAAACGTGCAATGACGGAGCTGTTTCTCTGTTTCCTCCAGGGTTTGAGTTTTTTGAAACCAGCGCCAAGGATAACGTGAACGTGAAGCAAACCTTCGAGCGCCTTGTGGACATCATCTGTGACAAAATGTCCGAGAGCATGGAGACCGACCCAGCCGTCACCGCCGCGAAGCAGAGCACGCGACTCAAGGAAACGCCTCCCCCGCCACAGCCCAACTGCGGCTGCTAATGTCTCCCACACGGGAGCTCCGAGTGGCTCCAGGGCGGCCAAGAAATAGCATTTATAAATGGTCTAGTAGCCTCCACTTATACTGCCTAACGATTATTTGAAGGAAGTCTTTGATGTCAGTGGCCCATATATGCATTCAAACCTTGAGCAATTCTCCCGTGTTAGTACGTGGCAAACTCGACCTTACGTTTGTAAAGGTCGTTCATCTTATAAACACCTGGTACCTGCATGTAACTCGTTGTTTATTTGCCTTCTAGAATTTCTTTTGCAATTTTTTTTTTCCCGGTTAAGCTATTGCTGAAACCTCAGACTATAATTTCACGGCAAATAACTTTTGCGCCCTGGATTCATATCACGCTTCTCTCATTTGTGTGGATGATGACCTAGGAACCCCCTTGTGTGCGTCGACCGTGAGCAGGGGAGATGTCAGGAAACTTGGTCTGACTGAAAAGGAAGTGGGACTTTTGCTCTTCATTGGAGACCCTATCAGAGGTCTGGGCAGTTTATATAAGGAAATGTATATACACTGCACTTTCATTAATAATAATTCAAGGGTGTATTGCCTCTTTTAAAAAAAAAATGAAGGGGGTGGGTCCAATGGCGCTTGGGAGGCTGAGGCAGAAGGATGAGTTAATGTAGGCCTGAGCTACAAACCATCAAATTCTTATCACGAAAAAAAAAAGTAGAAAAGAAAATGAAATTGAAGTGTTTCCAAGGCCCGTGTAAGTTTACTAAGTCAGTAGTATCCACGTGACTGGATCCAGACAAAGAGCAATCGAGGTCCCTACCCCAGGACTTAGCTTCCCACTAATTCTGCCCACATCTGCTTATGGGAGAGACATGACCCATGAGAAACGTCTACTTACTGCCAGTTATGTAACAAGCGTAGTGACCAGGAAGGCCAGTGCCGTGAGTAGCCATAGATTTCCATGGGCTGAGTGGCCTCCATTCCTTAAGGCTATCGACAGGACAGTCTGTTGATGGTTTCTTTTCGTCTGCTTGGTTTCTAACTTACAAATCACTGGTAAGTTTCCACTTCGACACCCAGAGGAGCAAGTCTTGGCTCACCAAAGATCAGAAAACACTAATGTCTTACTAAATGTTATTGACACCTAGATTCAATAGAAATTAACGTGAAGGGGAAGAAAGAAGCAGAGGGCATAAAGTAGGATTTCTTTGCAGTAGTTACGTATTCATATGCCATTGTCCTGTTTCTATGACCTGGGTCAGAATGTGATCATGTTGAATACTATAGCTGTCAAACTCATCTTTTAATCTAATACAAAACAATGAAGATGGGGAAACCTGGGCTTCCTTCCTTGCATGCATGCAAAGAGTGTAGAAGGCCTCACTTGGGTGCTTTAAATGGCTTCTTCAGGACATTGTGTGCGTTATAAACTGAGAACAGAAAGAGAGGAAGGGAAGCAATCACATTTGCTCATCTAAAACTTCTCTGAAGAGCTGAAGATTGACTGACCGAAGCCAAATGCCCACTCACACACTCTGTTGGGAACCCCAAAGTTAGGCCATTATGTGCGAGTCAGTGGACAGAGGGGCAACCCTAGCGTCATTGCTTCCAGAACAATCCATAATTCCTACTTCCCCAATTCCCGTGGAAACACAGTCTTCCCCACTGAGTATAAGTTATGAAATTCCTACCCTGCTGTGTGTTTCATTCCAAACAATTCAGTAAAAATTTCCAGAGAGACGTGTCACTAAGATAAAAGAAAAGGCTGCCCATGTTCTTCCCATGACAAAGGAAGAGAGAAGATCCTCTGTTCCTAATGTCATCAAGATATCTTTGTTGTAAAATCAAAATTGGAAAATGGAAACCAGGTAACTGATCATCTATAAGCCTTGAGCTATGTATCTTATAAATTCTAATACTGTAATCCTGAGGTTTTTCCATCTTTGGCCACTATATGTGCATTTGTACAATTACATACTACGTCTCTTCCCATCAATGTAAATATGAATAGGTCCTTCTGACTAATGACCTGGCTAAATTTTTACCTAGAAAGATGTTTAAAAACTACATAGTTGCCCTTATTTGTAGGTCTTAGACATCATTTCTTCTCTCTGATTCAGTTAAGCTAGGATTAAGTGTGTCCTCCATGTCCCCTACTGTCACCTGGGCACTCTTGCCCATTCAACTGCTTTTTTGGACTGAACCCCAACTACTTGAGGAAAGCACTCCTCCCCAGGACGCTGGTGTTGATTCATCCCTTCCCTGTCTTAATACAACTTAGTAGTTTTGCCTGAGCGGCCACCTTGAAGTGGGAATAGATGTGGGAGGTGCACGAGCTGTCCTCAGCCCCAAGAAGGCAACTTAACCATCAGCGTCACTTCTATGGGCTCCAGGGAAGAACTGACATAGAAAATGGCGCCGTTCCCTGTTGTTTCCCTCTTCAAACAGCGCCTACTGCCATCGTGAGCTTCTGATGCCTACAAGGAGCAAGAGGTTTGTGAAGGTCCTCCTGAGGGCCACTTCGAGTTTAACATTGCTCACTGCCGGGTTAATAAGTGCTGAAGTTGGTATTAGAAAAGGTCCTATTATGCTTCAGTTGCACTGATAAACGGGAAATATAAATTCTACAAAATCGCAACTGGAGTTACGCAAGATGTCAGTGTGCTCCATGAGAAATGTCTGGATCTCATTTATTTCACTCTTATCCGGATTTATTTATTCAGCACGTTTATCTTTTTTTTTTCCAGGAGCCAACTTAAGCTTAATTTTAATTGTGTCTGTGACAACAGTAATTTTAAAGTATATGGCATTCCACTATTAACTGAACTTCCACTAAACAACATTAACTTCAGAGTGATTCATCACATGCTTTATCTGTCAGAGCGGATGGCTAAGTTTGTCCTTTGGGTTTTTTATTTTTTAGTTACCTGGGTGGCATTTGTAAGGCTGTATTAAAAATGTATCTAAAAATTCTATCAAGCTTCCCCAAGCCGAAGCTACATGTGGTAATGGTTACAAGAATGAGCTTACAAACATGATAGAGAAGATCCTATACCAAAAAGTTTATGTTTGTTTCTAAGCTTTATCGTAATGTTGGAATGTTCAATCAGGTATCTTTTGGTGTGCTTGCAAGCCAACCCATCTGTCTGGGGAACTGTCTTTGTCTAAATTTCAGTCTTCATGACTGACCCTAGGGACTTCTTTCATGTGCACATTCAGTGTGGTATGTCAGGGTTCTAGGTGAGCATTAGACCTGGCAGGCCTTTCTGCTCCCTCTGAATGGTCCAGGGTCCACAGCTCTGCCTGTTAGTGGATGTTACCTGCTCTTTAGTTGTGTGCCAGTGGAATGGAGAAGTCTCCTGGGTACACCAAACCTCTGAATACTCAAACCAGCTTTTCGGAGTTATTTATATTTTAGGTGACATTTTTTTTTTCTAGAAACCAGTTAAGATATAAACCTATTTTACACCCTTGAGTTTAATTAGGACAAATTAGGTAAAAGATAAATTTGGATGAAGTTTATGAACAGATGGGGAACAAAAACTTTGCCTCTATACTGGACCTAAAGGGCTCTAGATTCTAGATATATAGTATCCCCTAAGGGGGGGGATAAGTTGTGATGATTTATATAAAGTTTACCTACATATTGTTAGTGGTATTTCATAAATGTATTTTTAAACCATTCTAGAAATGCTTGGCACTCCCATAAAAAAATCTTCCTAGAGTTTATTGACATATTTACACCCATGCCACTGTCCCTCTCATGACACACTTGCAAACACTGACACCTTTTCTGGTGAAGAGACAACTCTCCATTGATGGCACGTTCTCCGTGCAGAGAAACGGGAGCATTTAGCTACGCACCATCTGCCACTCATATTGTACTTCAAAGTTCAATGAAATGGATTCCTCATATGGATTTGCTTAGTCTGTGGCCAGGTCTTCTAAGGCAGAGAGGGTAGAGAGAAAATGCATTTTTGCAAACGTTGGAGGTAACAGAAATGAATTGTTTCAAAGCTGCACCTGGAGTAGAATATTAAGAATAGATCATGTAGCTAAGGACGTATTAGACTTTATCATTGCATGATCCTTTTATACTTCCCGATTTATTAAAAAAATTATTTAGTCTACCTTAAAAGAACTATCCTTTCAGAATAACACCAAGTCTCACCATTAATTTTCTCTCAGCAATTATTATTGGTGGACTTTTCATCAGCGATTACTTGCTGAAATAAACCTGTGGACTCCCTGTGGATTTCATTCACTTGTGTTCATTTTTCTTTCATTGTGGACAACTGAGAGTTGCTGTAGCGTTTTTATGTATTGAAATATCACCACATTCCTGTCACATGTGGCAAAGGATGGCTGAGGCTCGTGAGTGCTGTTCTCACAGACACGGGTGGTCCATGAGCCACGTGTCTACTTGGGTGTCAGGGATGTGAGCATGACCTGTATCTTACCAGTGAGTCTGTAATCCTTGTCAAATGAAGCTTGAGGGTTGTCTGATGTGTTCTTACCAGTGAGTTCGTAATCCTTGTCAAAGTGAAGCTTGGGGATTGTCTGATGTGTCCATAGGATGATTTTTCCATGCGTCGTTCCGTCATCCCTAGGAAGCATGATGAATGGGAACTGTCCTCTAATTCCTGTTAATATATTGTGAATGTCAGATGTGCCGTGGTACCATTGGACTGTCCAAATGTACAACTACCTACTGGTGTTTGTAGAACTGAAATGTCGTAAATGTTGCATGACGTATGTTCTAAAAAAAATAGATTTGTTTTCTATTTCTCAACACCTCAGAATTGAGGGTTCATGGGCCAATAAGTGCAATATTTAATGACTTACTCAGTGTATATAAACTAGTGTGCAAGTGAATTATGATGAATGTGTGAGCTGCTTTGATAGCCGTGTGCTTATTTAAATGATTTCTTGTAGTAGTATCTGTCTAGTGGTGCAATTTATACAGTAAGCATTTTTCTGACGCCATGGGAATCTCCTCTGTGCCTACTTAGAAGTACTTTTTTTTCCCATTTATAAACAAACTGTTTAGTACCTGAAAACATATGTCAGTTTTGCCTTTTAGAATTGTGGGTTTTGTTTCCAAGAAAGAATGACTGAGAGTTTGTTTTATAAAGTATTCACCTCTATAGCTCAGAATTGCCCCTAATCTTCGTATAAGAGTGTCTCAAGCAGCTATTTTAGATACCTAAGAAAAATATGCAGACCCAGAAGCCACCTTTGCTCCTCTGGAAAGTTGATC